AATGACTCAAATCTAAGGTTTGGGAAAGCTCTCATCTCCCTGACAAGTAAAACTCTAAGTACACTKGTTGGAGTCCTAACTGGGCACAATCTGCTCAACCATCACAAAATGGTGATGGGACTCCATGACAATGGTCTGTGTGATGTCTGTGGCATTGAACTACAGACCTCTTTGCACTACTWAGACAACTGCCTGGCTCTGAGCAGCCAAAGAAAAATAATTTTTGGGGACCCCTTAATGGACCCTGAGAAGCTCAGAACAGTGTTTCTAACCTGGYGACCTTCATCTGAGGGACCAGAAGGTTTGAACAAAGACAAGTGTTGTTTTTGAGGAGAGCAATGGGCCCACTSATGTGGCCTTCACTCATATAGGTTCTTCATTCTTCCCCACCCACCATAAACATACGGTACATTTCAGCTGCTGTAGAAGAACATTTGATGTGTGAACTCTCATGACTTTACATAACTTRTTAAACATGCTGTTCCTGTTCTGAAAGCTGTGCAGCACTGCCCTCTAGTGGAGGAGCAACACTCTGACATGCAGTGAGGACAAACTGTTGTCACAGAAATGTGTGAAGGATCAGGAGAGGATCTATGGATGGGACCTGCCTGAASAGGTTAGTGAGGTGAAAGCTGTCTTTACCACCTGTAGAGAACAGAGTGACCCTGGTCAGGAATTAGTCATGCAGCTGTACCATCAGGTTGATGATGTCACCATCAGGTATGACTCATATCTGCTCCAAACWTTTAATTAGCTTCTACATTATTTCCTCAAACTGAGAGGAAAAATTCTCCCACATTGATGCCATCTGACCTGGGGTCACACAGAGCTCCAAAGTGAAAAGAAACAATCAAATAAAAGATCATGGAAGACAGAAGTTTCCAGAGAAGTCCTCAGTGATTACCTCTGGAGAAGCTCCCTGCAGGAAAGCATCCCAGAGCCACCAGAAAACACTTGTTCCAAAGTTCTCCCCTCTCAGCTCCTCACTGCTTTCACTCTCTTTGGTTTCTTCAGCCTGGAGCTCGCCCTCAGGCTCCTGCTGCTGACACGGAAACAGGCCCAGATCCAGGGTTACAACTGACTGCTGGTCAGGATTCACAGCTTCACTGAACCCTACGTGGGAAAAACTACAGTTTCCTTTTTACTGCTTTTGTTCATCAGGTACCAAAAGGTTGGAAAACCTGCTACTTATGGAATGACAGGAGTGTCAGCTACAGGGAGGAAACATGAAAGTAGGAAACAAGCTGTGTTCAAACCAGAGTTTAGTAACTGTGGGAGAAAAACAGGTGACGTCAGTTCATCCTTTCACCAAATCACAAAGTGCTGGTCATTTCACACCCAGTGGGTACAGCATACGCAGGTCAAAGAATGAGAACAATATCTGCTGTTTCATAAAGAAGCCAGTGGGCTCAGAGTCTGAGTGTCTGCTTGCCCTGGTAATACCTGCTTTYTGTAGGGGAGCAGACACCAATAAAACTGGTCCAAATCTGCTTATCACCACCTCCAACGGGTCTTCCAGTTGAGATTCTGACCCACAATGGGTGGTCTTTACCCCAGCTTTGACAGCCACTGCTCCACAGAACCATCAGCACTGGGAGGCAACCAAGGATGCAGTGGTGAGAAGGTGGGTAGAAAGTGGGCGGAGCAAAGACCACAGAGACCCCTGGCAGATGGTTTCTTTGTTGATCTAAAAGGTCCGGGTACGAAATGACCAAAGTTKCAAAAGTTTGATTTGTTGGAGAGATGAAGTGACTCTGAGCTGCTGTCAAGAAGGTCCAAGAAATGTTAGACAAGATGTGAAAGCACCATTTCATCAACCATTTACAAAGACCCGGGTCACAGAAGGACCTGGGTCATAGAAGGACCCGGGACACAGAAGGACCTGGGTCATAGAAGGACCCGGGACACAGAAGGACCTGGGTCATAGAAGGACCTGGGTCATAGAAGGACCTGGGTCATAGAAGGACCTGGGAAACAGAAGGACCTGGGACACAGAAGGACCCAGGACATAGAAGGACCTAGGTCACAGAAGGACCTGGGTCATAGAAGGACCTGGGACACAGAAGGACCTGGGTCACAGAAGGACCTGGGTCACAGAAGGACCTGGGTCACAGAAGGACCCGGGACACAGAAGGACCTGGGTCATAGAAGGACCTGGGACACAGAAGGACCTGGGTCACAGAAGGACCTGGGTCACAGAAGGACCTGGGACACAGAAGGACCCAGGACATAGAAGGACCCGGGACACAGAAGGACCTGGGTCACAGAAGGACCTGGGTCATAGAAGGACCTGGGACACAGAAGGACCTGGGTCACAGAAGGACCTGGGTCACAGAAGGACCCGGGACACAGAAGGACCTGGGTCACAGAAGGACCTGGGTCACAGAAGGACCCGGGACACAGAAGGACCTGGGTCACAGAA